TCTTTCTTTTTAATTTTATTTTTATTTAATTTCCCACCTCATATGTTGTGAGAAATGTGTCGTTAGGCAATGGTCATTGTGAGAACATCATAGGGTGCACTTATAAAAACCTGAATAGTACAACTTACTGCACACTTAGACTATGCAGTATAGCCTATTGCTCCTAGGTTATAAACCTGCACAGCATTTTGCTGTACCACTTGAGTATCCCTAATTCAAACATTTAAAGTCTGAAATGCTCCAAAAGTCCGAAATGCACTCAAAACTTTTTGAGTGCCAACATGATGGTCAAAGGAAGTGCTCACTGGAGCAGTTCAGATTTCAGATTTTGTGATTAGGGAGGCACACTGATATGATACACACATTCAGAAATTCAAAATCCAAAACACTTCTGCTCCCAAGTGTTTTGAATAAGGAATACTCAACTTGTACTAAATGCTGTAGGCAATTATAATATAATAGTAAGTATTTATGTATCTAAACATAGAAACGGTAGAGTAAAAATGTGGTATTACAATTTTATGAGACCACTAGTATGTGCAGTGTCATTGACCAAAACATCATTATGTGGCACACGTTGTTTCTGTATTTTTTTCTTGGTGTCTCGTTTTTTCCCTTCTTTTCAGTAAATCTAGTATTTTTCAGTACTCCATTTTATCTACTCTATTGACTTTTTAGCTGTAGCACTTTGTGTTATTTTTAGTGGTCATTCTAGAGATTACAATATGTACCTTGTGCCAGAGTATACCTTCAGATAATATTATTTCATGCTACTTTACCCCAATACAAGAACCTTACTCCAATATATTTCCATTTAGCCTCTCCTGCCTGTTATGATCTTATCTTGTAGCTAATTTATGCATATTCCGTAAAACCCACAATACAGTATTCTTATTTGTGCTTTAAAAATCAATAACTTTTTAAAGAATTTAGATACATACATGTTTGCATAAAATTAAAAATGTTAAAAAATATTTTAATACTTAGATATTTAGATGTTTATAATTTCTAGTCTTCTTTCCTTTCTGCAAATCTAGTATTTCATCTGGTATCATTTTTCCTTAGTCTAAAACACTTTTTGTGGCATTCATTACAAGCTGATCCATTCGAGATGAATTCTCTCAGCTTTGCCTAAGAAGAAGATATTTATTTTACCTTCATTTTTGAAGGGTGTTTTTGGATATAGAATTCTAGGTTGGCAGGTTTCTGACCACTTTAAAGACTGTCATTCCATTGTTTCCGGTGAGGAGCCCCATGATTTGAATTGCTGTTCCCTATGTAAGATGTGGTTTTCTTGTGCTCATCCTGCTTGAGGGTTTCAGAGTGTATGATGGGGAAATTCCTACTATGCTGTCAACACAGGACACTTCAGCGATCAGCTGTCTGGCTTTTTCCTATACCAAGCAGTTATCTGACACCAGCTGTGTATTCTACAATTCAATTCAGACATTGTCTGCCTGGAGTTAGCACAGACCCCAGGGGTTAAGAGCTTAGTGCAACAAGGCTGCCCCCACTCACCTCCGATGCCAATCACAAATCCAAGTTGTCACCTGTGTTCTGACCAACCAGCTGTAAATCAGAGATTCCCACAACACATTCCATAGGTTTGATCACTAGAATGGCTCACAGAACTCAGAAATATTTACTTATGTTTACTAGTTTATTATGATAATAAAGGACATGATAAAGGGTACAGATGAACAGCTGGCTGATGCATAGGGTGATATCTGGAAGGAAGGGTCCTGAGTGCAGGAGCTTGTGTCCCTGTGGAGTGAGGGTATATCACCCTCCTGGCACATAGATGTCTTCAGCAACCCAGAAGTTCTCCCAGCCTCATAGTTTAGGGGCATTTATGGAGGCTTCATCACATAGGCGTAGTCAAATATTAACTCAGTCTCCAGCCTCTCTCCCTTACCCTGAAAAGGGGGAGTGTGGCCGAAAGCTCTAAGCCTCTCATCAGGGCTTGGTCCTTCTGGTGGCCAGCACCCATCCAGGATTCCATACACAGTTGCCTCATTAGAGCAAAAGACGCTTCTATAACTCAGGAAATTCCAAGGGCTTAGGAGGTCTATGTCAGGAATCAGGACCAAAGACCAAATATTAGTACAAAAGATGGACCTAACACCTCTGTCACTTGGGAAATTACAGAAGTTTCAGGAGCTCTGTGCCAAGAATTGGGAGCAGAGACCAAATGATATATTTTTTTATTATGTCACATAGAGTTTCAGAGTAACATGCATCTATGAACTGATATCTTTCATCAGTTCTCAGCCATTCTCTTCTCCATTTCCTCTGTCCTATTTTCTGTCTTTTATTCTATAATCAGTTATACTTAAGTTAGTATGTTTGATATATTCCTTCAGGTCTCAGATACATGCTCCTATATATTTTTTTCGTTCTCTTTTCTCCTTTGGTTTTGTTTTAGTTAGGACACTTTTTATTGACCTGTTTTCAGCCTTACTGGACCTTCCCTCCACTGCATCCAGTCTGTTGTTAAGATTGTTTAATTAATTCTTTGTGATATCAATATCTTTATTCCTGTATTTCCATTTGGTTCTGTTTCATAGTTTCTATTCCTCTGCTGAAACTCTGTCTTTTCACGTGTGTTGTCCGTCTTTTGTTCTTATTGACCCTTTTCTCTTTTTTTTGAGACAGGGTCTCACTCTGTCACCCAGGCTGGAGTGCAGTGACATAATCATGGCTGAGTGCACCCTTGTCCTCCTGGGCTCAAGTGATCCTCAGCCTCCTGAGTAACTGAGACCACAGGCACATGCCACCATGCCTGGCTAATTTTTTATTTTTTGTAGAGATGGTATCCCAGTATGTTACCCAACTGGTCTCAAACTCTTACGCTTAAGTGATCCTCTTGCTTTGGCCTCTCAAAGTGCTGGAATTGCAGGTGTGAGCCAACATGCCTGGACTGTTCTTGACCCTTTATCGTATTTCCTATAGTTATCTTAAAGTCTTCCTCTGATTGGTCCAATGTCTGGCACATCTTTCTATAGAGTCTTTCTCCTCCTTGCGCATGAGTCATATTTTCTTGCTTCTTTGTTACTGTAATTATAATTTTTATTGTAATTTTTTTTTTTTTTTTTTTTTTGAACGGAGTCCGCTTCTGTCGCCCAGGGCTGGAGTGCAGTGGCCAGATCTGGCGTTCACTGCCAAGCTCGCTCCCGGGTTTTAGGCCATCTCCTGCCTCCAACCTCCCGAGTTTAGTTAGACTACAGGCGCCCGCTAACCCTCGCCCTGGCTATTTTTTTTTTATTTTTTAGTAGAGACGGGGGTTTCACCGGGTTAGCCAGGAATGGTCCCTCGATCTCCTGACCTCATGATCCGCCCACCGTCTCGGGCCTCCAAAGTGCTGGGATTACAGG